ACACACACACACACACACATGTGCAACACCACTATTTCTTTAGAATCTTACTCCCTTTATTCATCAATGTGAAACTATTTTGAGTGTAGAATGCCTGACATGCACCACCTATCTCACCTCAAGTTCTCTGTAGCTTACTAGTGGAGCATTCGAATGCCCATTCAGTATAAATGTTTCGTAAATTGTACTCCATCTTTTACCACTTGCAGCCCACATCGAGTTTAACACAAGACATGGATGAACGTGCTCGAGAAGTGTTTGTGCAGCTACTACTGAGGAATATCCGTCAGATGTACTACAGTAGGGCGTATTGTGAGGGGCGACTACAGCGCTTCATGATAAAACGCCGCACCCCTCCACCACCGCCTCCGGCACAACCTGAAGCTCCCTCTAAACCTCCCACAAGGAGCTCCTCTGAGGAAAAAAAGGAGGGCGATAAGAAAGCGGGGGAGGTAAGGAAATTGTTTTGAAAGTCTTCACCTCAAAAATGAAAGCAGTTGTTTTACGAATAACGCAGGCTTCCTAGTTTTCAATTTGGTGTTGAAAAAACCATATCTAAGTCATCCTAACGACCAATCAGAACAAAACTTTACATTATCCTTAGCCAATGACAACTTAAAGTTAAAACAAACTGAAAATAAACTGCATGAAGCGCGGGAAAACGGGCATGACCAAAGGCGATTGTTTTTAGTTTTCCATCTGATTGGTTGAGAGGATGGCGCAGTTTTTCTGTACCACAGAGCAAAGAGAACTAAAAGGAAAACAATTCCGGATTACTTTCGACATATAATTGAAAACTGCTCTAGCAGAAACCTTACTTTTACGATGAAATTTCTGAAGTTTGATCACAAAACGCATCCTTGAAGGAATTTAGAGTATTGTTCGATGTTTTTTCTTCTTCCCTTGCGATGGCAAAGAACTGGCCTCGTCAGTTGTACCTAACTGCCTTCAAATGTAATGTCAAAACGAGGCCAAACATTGCGGTGTTATAAAGCTTTATTGTTTGCATAGTGGAAATCAGGCTACTTTTTCTTTACCGTGAAAAGTTATTTCAGTGATATTTATTTTATACTGACAGGCCATAGACGAAGACATGGACAGTCAGGGTTCTGATGATTCGGAGACGTTTGCAACTCCTCCTGCGTCCATGATAACAGGGAATGATACAGAAAGGCTTAATGCAGAGTTACCGGTGGGTGAAGAGGCTATGGAGGAAGAGCAAGGGGATGAACAGTGGAAATCTATTATGCCTGAGGTAGGTGTTTATGAAGCGATTTTGTCGCTTTTAGATTTATTGCATGTACTTGCTTGCCCTACGTTTTTATCTGTTTGTTATCGAGATTCAACGCACTACAATGGTTGGCTCCGGATCGACCGTAAAAACTAACATCAAATAGCACAGTTAAAGCATATACTCAAGTCACATTCCCTAAATTAATTGGCAATATACAGCATAGTCTTAGACCATCGATTTCTTATTCGGTTATGCATAATTCAAACTGTTGTCCTAAAACTCTTCCAAATGTCTGGTGAGCTTTGGCCGCTTGTAGTCGAGATTGCTGCAGTACCACAAAAGCATTATTTGTCGTCATTTACAGGAGTGGATCCCCGTAATCACTACAGACATTGTCCGGCAAAGACGACTGCCACCACAAGCGCCTTTTAGCGATGCTTACGTCAATGGACTCCCACCCAAGAGGCGTAAGGTAAATGAAGTTAGTTATTAACAAATTTTCACGTCAGTCTTAGTTAATTTAAGGAGACCTTGAAGTCATTTTAGAACTACTCTGAGTATTATTTGTTACGTTTTTAGATGATAGACCAACGAGGCATTACCCCAAGTGAAGACAGTATTGGTGATGCACTGAAGAGTGCGGCTACAGCCACAGGAGCCACGCCTCTTACAAGTCTGGACGGTAATAATAACGTTGATAACAATACTACAAACATTGTATGCACGTGCGCTGTGGGCTCCGCTTATGATAATAATAATAATGCTAATACTACTACTAATACCAATACTACTACTAAAACAATGATTACTGTGCCGAGTGAAGGAATCGCTTTTCTTTTTCTGTGGTTAATGATTATTTTCACAGTTTTCGTAGAGTGGCATCCCATAATAAGAAAGTGATGTACATTCTTGTTCACAACTTTTTACGTTAAAAACGCGGAAGTCAGTCTCCCCTAGCTCAAACGATTGCATATTAGCATGTCTCTAGCATGCGATGTAGTTTATGGAGTACTGTATAGTTTTGGAAGGCGCGTATGAGAGTAAATTTGTCGGTCAATTGCTTCCTGGTAGTTCGAACAGTATAAAGGCTAAGGTGGTGTTTGCCTGTACGTTAAAGACACTTATAGCAAATCTTGTGTACTCAAAGATCTCACCTGTTGCGCCCATCACGAAATCTTATGGGTCCACCTTAGACCCAAACGCCTTCCACGAGGGTTCTCTTGCATTGTTTTGGCTATTGTTTATCATCCTCCTGCTTCAGCGACTACAAATAATGGTAACATCCGAGATCACTATTTCAACTCTCTCTCCTTGGCTGAATCCAAGTACCCAAACTGTGCTCTTATTGTTTGTGGAGACTTTAATCGCCTTGATGTTCAGCCCATACTCGATCATTTTCGCCTGAAGCAAATTGTCAAAGTTACAACCAGGAAAAACGCAATCCTTGATCTCATGCTAACCAACCTTCATGTATTCTATGATAATCCCTCGTCCTATCCACCGTTTGGTTTGTCTGATCACAATACAGTGCTATGTTCTCCTAAGACAAAGAAGAAGACAGAGAAGACAATGAAATTCATCCTTAAACGCGATCTGCGTCCCAGCCGTAAAGCTGAGCTCGGTCGCTATCTTGCTAACATCGATTGGCGTGTACTTTTTGGCGGACTCAATAACTGTGAAGAATACCTCCAGGCATTCCAGTCTGTTGTTTGTACTGGTTTTGACCTTCTAATGGCCCTGAAAAGAGTTGGAATCAACATCACCGATGCCCCTTGGATGACGAGTGAACTTAAGTCACTAATCTCTAAAGACAACGAGCCTTTCACGATCATGGACCTCAGTCAATCCTTTTTAAGACCACCAGAAATGCCGTAAACCGAAAGCGGAAAAATTGCAAAGCGATCTTCTATGAATCCAAAGTCGATGGAATGAAAGAAAAGGACCCTAAAGCTTGGTGGAAGGTGGTAAAAAGGCTTAGCGGAGCACTAAAATCATCAAGTAACCTGATTCCTCTTCTGGACATTGAAGAGTTAGGTTTACCCATGTGCGAGATGGCCAACCGTGCAAACCAAGCGTTATTAGAGCTCCTGGAAGAGTATCGTTTACCAGGTAAGATTCCGAAGCTTCCTCTCGAAGACCAGAACCCACAGTTCCTAGTTACTACTGAGTATGGTGTCTTTAGGTGTCTTTTAAATCTTAATGCAGCGAAAGCAAGGGGACCTGATGGCATTCCGAACTGGATTATTAAGGAGTTTGCAGAGTCTCTCGCCTACCCTGTGTCAACCATCCTAAATGCCTCCTTTAAAGAACAAAAGCTACTGAGATGATGGAAATGCGGAGACGTCACCCCGTTATCAAAAAATAAACCAATAAAGGACATTATTATCTGGGCATTGTATCTGATTTATCATCACGGGTTTATTACGAATCAACTTAACGGCCTGCTCCCAGTTGGCTTGTTAGCTCAATTGATAGAGCGCTGCACTAGTATCGCAGAGGTCAGTGGTTCGAATCCCGTACAGGCCTGATTTTTTTCAGGTCTGATTTTCGCTTTTGCATAAATAGCGCTCTCTACTGCGAGGATCGTGCATCATACGTATCTAATACCGCAGTACAAAATATATGAATTTCATATATTCACTGTAAAGGACATTAAGAAAAATCTGAGACCAATTTCCCCTGACAATGAGTATTTCTAAAGTCGCAGAGGACTTTATTGTCACCCAACATATGAAACCAGCTGTGTTGAGTCAATTGTAGATCCTGCCCAGTTTGGCGCAATACCAAAGTCTTCAACAACCTTTGCCTTATTAGAGATGCTCCATGAATGGTCTAAAGGGACTGACGGGACTGATGGGACTGGCTCAACAGCAAGGGTACTTATGTTCGATTATAAGAAGGCATTTGACTTGATCGACTATGGTATACTCGTCAATAAGTTATGCCAACTCGACATAGTTCCGAACGTAATCAACTGGATAATTGATTTCCTGTCAGACCGTTATCAGAGAGTTAGATGTCTGTTGGGTGCGTATCGGAGTGGGGCTCTGTTCCATTTGGTGTCCCGCAAGGTACCAAATTAGGTCCCTGGCTTTTCTTGACTATGATAGACTATTTATCGATTGCCAACGCCTCCCTATGGAAATTTGTCGACGATACGACGGCCTCGGAAGTTGTGAAGAAAGGTCACCCCAGTGGAGCTCAAAATACCACGAACCAAGTAATAGGGTGGTCGAAGAAAAACAGACTTATACTGAACACAGACAAATGCATAGAGCTGCGAATTGGTTTCTCTTCAGTTCCAAGTAATTTCTATCCAGTTTCAATAGATAATATGAACATGAAATTGGTTAAACAAGCCAAACTCTTGGGTGTTATCATCTCCGAAGATTTGAAATGGAACGCTCACATAACTGAGATTACCAAGAAAGCAGCAAAGAGAACCTATTTCCTTGTTCAGCTAAAGAGAGCTCACGTTCCACCAAAAGACCTTTGCCTCTTTTATACGGCATGTGTACGATCCGTAATCGATTATGCAGCACAAGTTTTTCATTACT